AAGCAATTTCACTTAATTTAAAAATTTTCATGGAACTGCTAAAGATGTCAATTACAGTACTGCCTGCTTTCAAAAGTAATGATATAATAATAATACAAACTGGTAAGATGTGCTAATTTTGTCTAGTTTGTTTGTTTGTTTTTGAATTTCGCGCAAAACTACACGAGAGCTATTTGCGCTAGCCGTGCCTAATTTTGTAAAACTAGAGGGAAGGCAGCTAGTCATCACCACCCACCACCAAGAATTGATGAGAAGTGTTGATGCAAAACTGAGAACTCTAATATGTATCCAATGAAAACTACAAATGTACAAATATGCGACTATGAGAAGTAACTACTTATTTAAATCACTTCAATGTACATTTTTTAATAAGTTAAAAATTTAAAAAATGTCCAGAAGGTCTGATTAAAACATTAGCTTTATTAACTCAAATACAACTTGAAAAAATTATACAATGATAATTTTACATTTGCTGTATTTACTTAAAACTTGCATGCAAAATATCAACTTTTTTTATCTGTCTTCTTATCAAGCTTTGAAAATTACTAAAAATATCCTGGTATTGGCTGAAGAATCATAAGATACTATAATAGATTATTTATTAGAAAAAAAATGCTTGAATTAGACTTTCATAATGCATACTTTCTATAAAAACTACAATAACAACAATGCATGTTACCAGCCAATCTAAAATTCTTTACCTGAAGCCATTTCATAATATAAACTCAAGTATAAATAAATCCTATTCTAATACAACTTGAATTAGTAAAACACTTTATTCAGTTGAGTATACATTTGAGCAGACTTCTTGTTTCACTAAATTTCTTTTACCTTTCATAATATAGATCTATATGTTCAGTGTTTTAAACAGAAGTGAACACACAATGTTAAATTATAATAAAACATGTACAAATGTGGATTTATAACCAATTAAAAAATGTTTAAAAATAAATAGAGGATTTAGCTTTCAAAACAACCATCATTACAACTTCTTCTATTCGAGAAATGGAAATTGTTTTTGTACATTAACAAGACTACAAGGGACTGTCTTAGGGTAGATAAATTAGCAAACAAAATGCTGTAAATATGTGGTTGTCCATCCTTGGCAAGTAAAACACTACTCAAATGCAGCTAGTTATTGACTTATTACTGCACTCAACTAAGAAAGTAAAACTATAAAGATGTGCCTATTGATTAATGGGTGAGATACAACTTACTATAATTACCTTACTGAGGATAGCATTAGAGCAAATATATCAACAAATATATGGTACACAAAATTCTAATAGTGATGTTAGGTTTATGTCATTAATTGAAATAAGATACTGGAGTACAAACCATAAAAACATTTCTTTAAAGTTGAGTTTCTACCTAATTCCTATAAAATAACATTATTATTTAAAAAGTCAGAGATGTAAAACGTCTATCAATTCATTTAGCATATGGCCAGGAGAGCTGAACATGCATTATAGAAATACTTTTTAACACATTCACAACAACAAACATGACCACTTAATCATGTTGTTGTTGTTTTTCTTTAAACATAGAGGTTCTGCAGTGAGAGGCAAAGGGATGAATTTAATTTCTCTCCCACAGGACAACTTTCATTTTTGCCTTTCAGATAATTTGTTATTAAACAAATTTGGTATTCATTTTGAAATTATTACATCTGCACTTAGAAATTTAAAGTGGAGCATCTACACTGTTTGGCACACAAGTTCATAAATTAATACAAAATTAATTGAATCTGTTATGACTAACACTCTAGATTACTATAAAGTAAAATATCATATTAAAATATCCAACTGTGTTCAGCTTTGTTTCACTGAAATCACAGTTACTGTATCAGCTGTTCTACATCTAGTATTAACCATAAAACCCATAACATTAGCATAGAATTGAAGCACAGCAATTATTAAAAAGAAATTCCTATTAGAAGCATGTTTGCAAGAAAGCCTAACAATATGTTAAAAAACTGATTAACTTTCTTAATGTACCTTGTTAAGTATGTGCAGTTCAGTACAATATAACTCTAAAAATTGTTATTTCACTAAACAAAACATGGATATTTTTTAAAATTCCTAAACAATGTTATGTTTTGAAGTTGTATTTTCCAAGGTTTCAAATCTTTGATGGTTTTTTCTTTT